TTCTCTTCCTATAGGATTAAAAAGAGAGGTTAGGGCTGTCAAGAGCTTTGAAAAGAGCTTTGAGCACATGCAGCTCGAAGGAACATAAGGTGTGTTTTCACTCCTTCCTTTCTGTAAAGATAACTGCTTGAACTTTGGAGCCTGGGGGCTGGATTGTACCAAAACCTCTAAATAACATACAGATTTACTGGTTTGGTTGTCAGATACCCTCCAGTTGACTACGACGCCAAGAACTCTATGTATGAACAGCAGATCTGAACCTTGATCTGTTTTTGTTGTTGATTGCCTTCAAGTGGAGCACGACTCATATCGACTCTATGATCAAAAGGCCCAAAATCTGTCTATAACTGTTGACATTTATCAAGGTTCATAGGGTTTCCGTAGGCATGTTATTTAGGAAGTGGATGCCACTCCTGCTTCCAAACCTGTCACAGTATGTTATTGTTGTTATGTCATTGAGTCTCCTGCGACCCTATGTACAGCAGCTCTGAAACCTTCCCTGTCCTTTCCTTGAGCTTTACCAAGCCATAATCACAGTATCAGTCATCCCCAAGCCCATTGCTGCAGCCGCTGTATTAGTTGTGAGTTATTTAAATTCCTCTTCCTAGTTTAAACTAGGATTCCTGTGTGAAGACTGGGAATAGTAACATTGTCCATTTCAAAGACTTGGTACAAGGAGGAAGGGACCAGTTTCTTTCCCTTGACCTTAGCGTGACTGTCAGGACCCTCAAGATCTAGCAGGAACTGAGGCTCATTTTGTCTTTCTTATGCTATCCCTTCTGCTTCATTTCTTTCTGTGTCCTTCTCTCTCTGTCAGAAGGTAGACGAGTCTCATTCACTTCTCTAATGCTAAAACCAAGCCTTAGTCAGGGACCTTCATATAGACCCTGTCCTGTCCTTTTCTGGGCCACCTTTTTCTAACCTGTGACAGATTCTGGCTGGTCGTGTGTTTGTCTGGTGTCACAGGGTGGTGACATATTACCAAAGGGCAGAACAAGAGATGCCTCAACCTAGGCAAAGGACAGAAGAAAGAAGAAACTGCAGTCATCAGTTCATATACTGTGTGAGGGAACATGGTGAACTGAAAAGATAATAAAATACCTGACCAGCTTAACGCTCATCTTCATGTATATAATTATAAGAATTTTCTTCTTTAGGCATCACTGCTTGCTGTTCAAAGAGGCCCTTGCCATTTACTCATTGACAGCATAATGATTTACCTCGAATTCATATGCTCTTGTGCTTTGTGCCAGCAATTAATGCTTATGTCATATTGCTTCAGGGATCAAATAAGAACTCGTGTGCGCGTGTGTGTGTGTGAGAGAGAGCGAGCATGTGTGTGAATGTGTGTGCACATGCACAGACACAAGCAGATAAACTTTTCATGCTACAGCCATGTAGAATTAAACTTCATCTTTAATTTAAAAAAATCTATTTCCTATTCTTATCATCTGCGAGAATCCTTGACTCTTGTGTATCCTAAAGCCAGCCTTCTGCTCTGGTTCAACTTCCACTCATGCCAAATTATATTTCCTTTAGCTTGTTAGAAGCATTGTTTTCATTTTCTGAACCCCCAAAGTACTCTGCCTGTAATTCTCATCATCATTTTCAAAATGACAACGCCACAGTTTATTTAGCACTCACTATATGCCAGTTACCGAGTGGAGTACTTTACGTAGATGAGTTCACTCAGTTCTTACAAGTCTGTTTTTTCACAAGAGGAACCAAGATTTAGAGAGGCTTAAGATATTTACACAAAATACACATTTCTAAGTGGAAGATGACCTACAGGTAACATTCCAATCACCTGCAGGGATCAGAATTTTCGCCCTTAAATCTCTTGCCTTTTAGTCAGAGAGCACAGTAGTTACATTTTCTTTCTGAATCATACACTGCTTGAAGGAAGAAACAATATTATTTCATTTCTCTGTTGTGCAAGCTTCAGAAGCCAGCAACTCAACAATTATCAATTGTATAAATGAATCAAGTGTCAAGAAAGATGTTATTATAGTAAGAAAAGAAAATACCGGGGATGCCTTTTAAAAATGGGTGAATGGAAATCCAAATTTTCTGTAAACTTTCATTAAAATCACAATTAAAAAATATTTTAAAACATGAATCTTAAAATAATTTAAATGCTATATATAAATAACTATATAAACTTAAAAGATGGAGTATACATGAGATATTAATACTGTTGTTGTTTCATTCCATTCCTTTGCTTCTGAATCATAGTGACCTCATGTGACTAGGCCAGCACAAAACCATGCCTGGTTCCGTGCCATCCTCACAGTCAGGACTGTACCGGAGCCCATCATTGCAACCATTGTGTCCATATTATTGAGGGTTTTTATCATTTTTGCTGTCCTACATTATTAAGCTTGATGTTCTTTTCCAGGAAGTAGCCCCTTATACCAACATATCCAAAGCCTCTGAGATGAAACCTCACCATCTTTGCAACCAGGGAGCATTCAGTTGTATTAATTAAAATTCAGGTTTGTTCTTCTGGTTGTAGATGCTGGGTGCTGTATATATAGCTGACTTTCTAGCAGGTTTTCAGAGACTCTATATCACTTGGGAGGAAATTGCTCATCTTTCTCCCTAGAAGCAGCTGGTGGATTCAATTCCTGTGCCTTTGGATTGCAGTATAATTCCTTACCCAGTAGGCCCCCAGAGCTCCCTGTCATTCTTCTGGTAATCCATGTTATATCCAATTTTTAAAAATTAAGGTATGCATCAGGGTTGTATTCTCTCTCCATTCTATCTGTATGCTGAGCAAATTTTTCTAGAAGCTGGATTCCATTAAGAAAAATGTGCCGTAAACATCAGAGGAAGACTCATCAATAACCTGAGTTATGCGGGTGATGCTTGCTGGAAGTGAGGAGGATTTAAAGTAAATGCTACATCAGATCAAAGACTACAGCCTTCAGTACGGACTACATTGCAACTTCAAGGAGACAAAACTTCTCACTACTATATCCATAGGCGGCAGCATCATGATAGCTGGAAGAAAGATTGAAACTGTCAATGACTTCATCTTACTTGGATCCATAGTGAGCATTCTTGGTACCAGGAGATCAGGAGACATTGCATTGGAAAAGTCTGCAGTCTGAGACCTCATCAAATTATCGAGGAACAATGATGTTAATTTGAAGACTAAGGTGTGCTTGAGTCAAGCCTTAGTCTTTTCAGCCACTTGGTTTGCATCTAAGAGATGGACAATGACTCAAGATGACTGAAGAAGAATTGATGCCTTTGAGTGGTGGTGCTTTAGAAGAGTACTGAATATCCCATGGACTGCCAAAATAACCAAACAAATATGTCTTGGAGAAAGAGCAGCCAGAGTGCTCCTTGGAGACAAAAATATCAAAGCTTCACCTCACTTTCTTTGGGCATGTTGCTAGAAGTGATTCTTTGGAAGCCAACTGCCTGCCTCATCTTTCTCTCCAGGAGCTGATGATGGGATTGAACTGCTGACCCTTTGGTTAATAGTCAACCTGCTTTAACCACTAACCCATGAGAAAACAGGTGAAGCAATTCTTTGGAAAGGAACATCATGCTTGGAAAGGTGGAGGGTCAGCAAGAGAGTTAAGACCCTCAACCAGATAGATCAACACAATGACTTCAGCACTAGTGTCACGTATGCCAGAGATTGTGAGGATGGTATAGGATAGGACAAGGTTTTATCTGTTGTTCATAAGGTGGCTGTGGGTCGTACTTGACAGTGCTTAACAACAACACGAATTTGTCTTTGCTCTTCCTTTTTCATGGTCTAGATCGAGTTCACCTAAGTCTTTAAAGTGGTACCTTTGCTTTTTTTTTTTTTTTTTAAAGGTACATACTTTGGACATGTTGCAAGGAGGACCCAGTCCTTGGAGAGGGATGTCATGCTTGGGAGGGTGGAGGGAAAGCACAGGAGAGAAAGATCCTTGATGAGATGGATTGATTCAGTGACTGGGGTCATGGGGGTAGAAGTGTCGGAGATGGTGAGATTGGCACAGGATAGGACAGAATTAGACATAGAGTCACTATGAGTCGCAGGTGACTCGACAGCACATAACAACAACAAATACTTTAGAAAGATTTTGTTTGTAGCAGATTTGTTCAAAGCAATTTGTTGTTTAAATTCTTGACTACTCCTGCCATGGGCACTGATTATGAATTTAAGAAAAATTAAGTCCTTAACAGCATCAACCTTTTATCTGTTTCTCATGATGTTGCTTATTGACTCAGTTATGTGGGGTTTTGTCCTATTTTGACATATAATCTATATTTGAAGACTATATTTGACCTCCATCAGTAAGTGCTTCAAGTCCTCCTTAGTTTCAACAACCAAGATTGTGTCATCTGTGTTTCATAAGTTGTTAAGGAATCTTCCTCCACTCCTGATACCACAGTCTTCTCATTCTTTGCAATGATGTTCATTGTTTGGTAGGACTAACACAGTTGAATTATTCTGCATAGTCAATAAAACACAAGTAAACATCTTCTAGTACTTTTTGGTTTCAACCAAAATCCATACAAGATTAATAAAGTTAACTCTCATTCCATGACCTCTTTGGAACATTGCTTAAATTTCTGGTAGTTCCCTAATGATGTACTACTGGTAGGATTATTTAATTCTCTTTAGTAAAACTTCACTTGTGTGTAATAGTAATGATATTGCTTAATGATTTCTGCATTCTGTTGAATCACGTTCCTTTGGAATGCTGACAAATACAGATCTCTTCAAGTCAGTTAGCCAGGTCTTCTAGATTTATTGGTATAGTCAAGTAACTGCTTTCGGTTTGTATCTGTTACTCTTAACTATAAAAAGATTTCTTCATTTTACTTAATATTCAATATGTAAATTATGCATAAAATGCTGATTATGTTTGTTTACTATTTTAACTCTTGTATAGATTTGGTTCAGGTAATTAAAACATTTTTGTTTAGTCAGTTTTATATGCTAAATTCTTATCATATGTCAATATTAATCTTGCACTTTGCTTTGTTTACAGGATGGCGCTGGGGTCGATGAGAAGTTGTCTCTAAGAAGAGTGGCTGTGGTTGAAGATTTCTTTGATATTATCTATTCGATGCATGTGGAAACGGGGCCAAATGGAGAGCAAATTAGAAAACATGCTGGACAAAAGAGAACTTACAAAGCAGTAAGTAAAAAAAACCAAATAAAATCATACACTTGGAAGTCTAGTGTTCTCTGTTTCAGTCAATGTAAGTTAAGTAATTCTACAGTCTAGCTTCTGCCTTCAGAATAAATTAGAACATATCATGGTCATATCTAAAATTGTAACTAATTATTACTGACTGGTTTGAATAAATGTTCACTAAATGTTTTGTATACAGTGTAAATCTACTTCTAGTATTTTCTTATTATCTTTTTTTAAATATATAAAAACTGTTGTAGTTCCAGCCAGAGGCCTACAAATAATATTTATTTATGCATCCAGTGTTTCCTAATATATGACTGATGACTGGATCATATAAATTTTAGTACTTCCACTCTATTAATGTTTTTTCCCTAAAATTATATTCATGTATCTTGAGTATTTTCTATTTTGTGTTTATAATCACATGGATAAGGACATTTTATGTACCTCTCATATGTCATCTTTTAATAAATTTATTTGTGTTGAAAGATGTGCATTTCTTAACTTTCCAGAATGCACTAGTACATGTTATATGTTATTTCAATAGGCAATGCTCTTGAATCATTACAATTGAAAATGTTTAATGTTTTTATCATACATTTTTGAAAGGCAGATTTAATGAACTGTTAGTGAAATATGTGTATATCTATTATAATAATGGAGTTATATGTTTACAGTTTGATCTAGATGATTTAAATTTTTATTTAATCATGTACTTATGAAATCATCTTACTGTAGATATTTCATCCTTTCTAGGAAAATTGAGCAGTAAATTATTATTTTCCAATATGAGCAAAGTGTACCTCAGAAGGACTTTATTAGCAACCATAGATAGTAGTATCCTTTTTTTGGAATTTTTACTGAACTTTGCTTTTGGCTACCTTTATATTAACTGCTTTTAGTTATATTGATATACAATATCAGTCTGGATCCGTTTTTTTTTCAGATACAGAAAAATGTGTGAAATGCTCAAAGTTTCAAATACAGGTACATATGTTTGAAAATTAGCTACTGAGCATAAGAAATAGCTTCTTTTCCATAACTATTTTTTGCTATATTGCCAGGATCATATTGAATCTTTGTAGCTGCATAATAACCCTTAATACATGTTGTATCTCCCCTTCTTCTCTATGATTTTGTTTCTTGGCTGTTTCCAAATTGCATGGTTTGTGGCCAGGCACTATTGTAAGTCTCCTTACATAACTCTGCCACGTAAACTTTCTTTTGACTTACACATCCTAGGAGACATTCTTATTATGACTAATGATAGTGACCTATCTTCTTGGGATACTTTTATATAGACTAATATTACTGAACGTACTCATTTCACCTGTCTCCTATGCGAGGGTTGTATAATCTTGGCCTTAATAAGAAAAAAAATTACATATTGATCTACTAATACCACTAACTGTGTACGTTGATGGTATTTAATTTTCATGAAATAGCTACCTGACTTTGCTAGAGCTAAGGTAGGAATGTAGTAAATGTTAATTGTGTCTCAATGAAAACTTGTTCATAAATGAAACAGTAAATTTGGTTGTTTGTCAATGAAAAACGAGAACAAATGGCTTCATTGTCACTAGTGGTTTGATAGCTACTAAGCCTGTTTAGGTGTCAAAGCAATTTTAAACGATTTCATCTTAGAAATACACTTAGCAGAGACTTTTCATTCAAGTGGAAACCTGAGATAATGACATAGAACCCAAACTCTTACTTTTTCTTAAGTGAATGTAAAGAATGTGATCTGTTGCTGTGACTCATGCTAACATTTCCCACTAGATGGTAGAAATAATTTCAGCATACATCATTTTTCATCAACATTGTGAAGACATTTTCTGCATTTTGGTGTAGTTATAACCAAGTTGGGAAACTCAAGCAGTCTCTCAGACATCATCGTTCAGCTCTTGATAGCCTTTTTCTTTCTAACACTTATTTTTTTTCCATTTCCACTTACACAGTATTCTTACTTATTCCTAACATCATGTTCATTTTTTTTCTCCTGGACAATCTTTTTGCCCTCTGGTATCCTTCAGCAGAATCCTAATTAGGAAACCTTTTCATTTTCAGGAGTAATAGTTCATTGGGGTTGGGGTTGGGAGAACTGCTGCAATGCCAGCAAACGTGCTCACATGAATCTACATTGAATTTAAGTGTAATGTTAAAAATGAATATAAATGTTCAAGTAATGGAGCATAAAATGAAAAGCAATCTTAAATGGAATGGTGTAGTGCTATTAAGACCCTAGACTGTTGAGTCAGAACTGAGCTTCTGATAGTAATGGTGGAGTTTGGTAGTCGTTGATAGAATTAGTTCAGTATCTATTGCCATTTTAATGCTTCCCATTAAGTGTAAGAATTTTTGTTCCTACTTCTAACACAAAGGCTCACAGAGCATGCATGATTATGTTCATTGACCTTCTTTTCCTCCCTTATTTCTTCATGTCCAAGAACTCATGCAACTAATTATTAAATTGTGTCACACTGTCTTAATAATAATGATACCAATAGATTTAGTGGCCATTTTATTTACTTTGCAATTTTTTTTTTCAAATCTTTCTGTATTTTCACTCTGCAGGAGATAGTGGTCCTTTAATATTGGATTAACTTTTGAACGCTATTCGGTTTTACCTATCTGCAGTATATCATTCCTTGAAATATCTAGATATTATGCCATTTAAATTTTAATTTATTTTAGTACAGATAAAATTAGAGAATCTGTGTTCTAGTACTCATGAGCTCTTTTGAAAATCCACATAAAATGACACATTTTGGGAATATGTAAAGGCCATTATGATTCGTTTTTCCATTATTACTGCATTCTTTTAGGTTATTTCTTCTGGCACATTGGTCTCTGTAAATTAACAATTACTGGTGGGTTGAATATATATTTAATATATCTGACTCTACTCAATTGTTGATTATTTGCTTTAATAAAGTAGAAAAGAAGGACATTCATATACATTTAATTTTAAAACAAACCTTTAAATAAAAAATTAGATATGGGTATGCTGAGCCATTCAGAGAGTCATTTCTAAAATCTAAGGTGTAACACCAGACAGAAGAGGTAGGTACTCTCTAGTCTTTAACTCTTCCTAGATCTGCCTGAATCCCACCTTCAGGGCATCTATCTCTGTTCCCTGGCAGAATTTTATCTTTTATCGCTTGTCTTTTATCATAGGCTAAGCACAGATGTCAGATCAAACATGTTTTTTAAGCCAGGGTTTGATTAAAGGCTACAGTTTCAAAGCTCTTACTTGCTGCATGGAACATAAAATTAACTGTTAGAAATCTAAGAATTAAGGATTCTGAATTGATTCCTGGTGCTATCAATAGAGCAGAGATTCTGGGGACCTGTACATGTCTGTGTATGCATGACTGTACTTGCTCTCACTTTGTACAGCACACTCCACATTGTGGTTTGGAGTGTAATGTGGCAATACCCCATACATTATTCACATACACATCTCCCAGTGATTCCATTCATTTAATTCAGAGTTGGGAGTGTATACTGCAGCTCAAAGAACTGGATGTGAAGCCAGACACACGACCTCAGTTTCAAATTTCAAAGCCAGTATTTTCTGTCAGAGTCACTTACGGCAAATTATTTACATTTAATCTCCTAATCTCTAGAAGGTCACAGTGGCATACATTAGCGGTGGAAACCATGAGTTGATATGCTTAACTGACACATTGTAAGTTTTTGCTTGTAATTTCCCCTTTATCCACTCACTGCTTATGAGCCAGGTAGAAGGACAAATAAGACAATTGACAACTATCATTTGCCTTCATTTCAATTGTTGTTGTTATTATGTGTCATCGAGTCACCTGCAACTCATAGTGACCCTATATACAACAGCCCTAAACCCTTCTCTATCCTGTGCCAATCATTGTCTCTGATATACCTACCCCCATTACCCCAGTCACTGAATCAATTCATTTCATCAAGGGTCTTCCTCTCCTGCTCTGTCCCTCCACCCTCCCAACCATGACATCCCTCTCTAAGGACTGATCCCACCTTGCAACATGTCCAAAGTATGTCAGAGGAAGCTTCAGAATCCTTGCCTCCAAGGAACAGCCTGGGTTCACCCTCTCCAGGATGAACTTGTTTGTTCTCCTAGCAGTCCATTGTATAGTCAGTACTCTTTTCCAGCACCACAGTTCTAAGGCATCAATTCTCCTTCTTTTATCCCTAGTCATTGTCCAGCTTTCTGATGCATAGCAAGTACTTGCAAAGACCATGGCCAGTATCAGGTGCATGTTAATCTCCAGACTGGCATTGCTTTTCAGTACTTTGGAGAGGACTCTGACAGCAAACTTCCAAGTGCATTTTGTCTTTTAATTTCCTGGTTGCTAGTACCAAGAATGTTGATTTTAGAGCCAAGCAAACTGAAGCTGTTGACTATCTCTATTTCTTAACTATCTATCATAATGCTGCCAATCAGCCCAGTGGTGAGAATCTTTGTTTTCTTGATGTTGAGCTTCAATCCATACTGAAGGCTGCAGTCCTTGACCTTCTGCAGCAAACACTTCAGGTCCTCCTCAGTTTCAGCAAGTAGAGTTGAGTCATTTGCATAATGCAGATTGTTGATGAGTTTACCTCCAATCCTGATGCCACACTTCTCCTCATTAGAGCCCAGCATCCTGGATGATCTGTTCTGCTTATAGTTTGAAAGGATATGGAGATAGGACACATCCTTTGTGCACACCCTTCCCAATTTTGAATCATACAGTGTTTCCTTGCTCTATTTTGACGGCTGCCTCCTAGTCCAAGGATAGGTTTCACATAAGCACAATCAAGTGTTCTGGGATGTGCTGTTCCAAATGTTTTTGGATAATCTTCAGCAGAATCTTGCTTGCAGGTGATAACAATGATATTGTTTGAAAATTTCCTTACTTTTTCAGATCACCTTTGTTTGGAATGGGAACAAATACAAATAGATTTCTTCCAGGCAGGTGGCCAGATGGTTGTCCTCCAGATTTCTTGGTACAACTTGGTGAGCA